TGGCATCACTTGTTATGTGATTTCAGTCCATATTTCATGGCCATGCACTTGCATTTATCACTCATTCAATGCGTTGGAGGGATTGCCCCTTTATGCCTTAACATGAACCATTGTGTATGCCTTCATGCCTTTGCTTGCGAGCCACCATTTCAGTGTTTATTTGGGGTTATTTTGCCATGATATAACTCTAATTTTTATTGCTTACGTCATTCCATGCTTGGTCTTAATAGGTGTAGTGTAATCCGCCTTATTTGCCTTGTATGAATCATGCCTTATGCCTTTCGTGCTAGCATGTTTTGGCTTCCTTCCATGCATGTTTTAGACTCATTCTAACATGTACTAGGACTGTTTTGGGTTGCCTTGGTCACATGCTTCATGTTTTGTTACTTGTAGTACAAATGCTCTTGCTTGCCTCAAGCTTTGAGCACCATTGCATGCTTCATTTGTGTTGTGTACATGATTTGGCATTATCTAACATGACATTTTAGAGCTTATAGCATGCTTATGTTCCCACTTCATTCACTATTTAAGTGTCTTTGAGTGTTGTGCATTGTTGTCTAGTTTATGCCTTAGCTTGTATGCTTGTATGCCTAGGTCTTTGAATCCCCATCTCAGCATGTTTAGGTCTTTGTTTTGACCTCCTTGAGCTCTGTCAATGGTTGGTTCATGCATATTTGCCATGTATTGCATGCTCCCTTTGTAGTCCTCTTTGCTTGTCATAAGCTTTAGGGACCATTGCATGCCATACTTGTGTTGTCTGAATGATTTGGCACCATTCCTTGTCTAATTTCAGTATACTTAGTGTTGCTACACTTCCATGCTTTTCACTCTTTAAGTGTTCTTGAGAGTTGCACCTTAGTGCCTTAGTTGGTGAGCCAATTGGCATGCATGTTTGTATGTGTCTTCGGCGCTTTCATTTTAGCATTATGGTCACTGTTTTGGTATGATTGAGGTCTGTCCATTTCAATTTAAGTCCATTGAGTATGTGGTTTTCATGTTATTGCATGTTTGGTGCATTACACATTGTTGCCCTTGTTGCATTGCATTGTGCATGCACGCATTACATTGTGTTAAGAACCCTCATGACTGTCTTGCATTGAGTATGCCATCTAGTTCTTAGCATTTAGCATTGTATATGCCATGTTATGCCTTGCATTGTGTATGCTAGCTTGCTAATTGCACTGAGTATGCCATGTAGTTCATTCGCATTGTGTATGCCATGCTTGCTTGCATTGTGTTTGGAATAGGTGCTAGTCCAAACATGGGAAACGAGAGACGTTTCATACTTAAAGTGATGAAACGTGCCTTAATTCCCGGTCTCTGACGCTCTTGATCATCTATGATAGAGTTTTAGGCTTTATGTGTTTACTTGTGCATTCATTTTCATATTGAATTGTGCAACTTCGCGTCTCGGCCATTATGCATGAAAATGCACGATTGGTGGCCCGAGGGTCGAGAACCTACACTTCCTTGAGTTCATGACATGATAGGGAGGGTGGTTGTGCACACATATCTTGCAAATACATTGCCATGCCCTTTCTTGCTCTCTGTTGCAGCAAATTGCAGTTCAGCAGCAACAACTGGCCAGCTAGCCAGAAAAACTAGCTGGCCGACCACTTTTCTGGTTTTTCAACAACCAAAAGTGGTCGGCAGGTGTCTGGAGAGACCAAAAGTGGTCGGCCACCCTCCCACAAGACTCCCAAGGTGAAATTTCAGCTTTCTGGAGCTTGGGGCAAGTTTCTGAGAACAAATGAAAACAAAGGCAAATCGGGACATCGCATTGGATTTCCGAACGAGGCGACCGAGCATGCATCCAGTCTTCTCCCTCTGAGAACCTCCTGATTTACTGTTTTCCTTAGCTGTCATGCTTAGATAGCTAGTTTATGCTTTGGTTTGTACTTTAAATAGTTAATGCGTTTAGCTATTTCAATTCGTTTTGTAATAATTAGTTAACTAGGATTAGTTAATTAATTTGTTATGTAATAATTAGTTTAATTGGCTTAGATTAGCTAGTTAGCTTCTTATTTGGTCCCTCCCTCGAGAGGGCGTATCATTGTAATAAGCGTGCGTGTGTGTGATGCATGTCTTCCAATCCCCATTTCTTTCTCCATTTTGCTTAACCGCTTACGATGGTTAGTTTTAGGGCACGTTTCATTTAGCATACCTTATGCTTGCATATTTGCATCCATTCATCTGTACTACATGCACCGGGCTCGGCACATCATGCTAACTGCATTGTATTTCAATTCTAATTTGAATACATGTACCAAGTTGCATTTCACATGACATTCTAGAATAACCGAGCCTATTTTAGTTGCATTCTCGCATGTGTTGCATTAGCCATCTTAACATGAACTAGGATCATGCATGATTTCTAACTAGTTCTTTGTTTTGGCTCGGAGTACACTATGAGTGTTTACGCTTTAACATACTGCATGTGTGTTAATGTTGCCATGAAAGCATGCTTACCATGAGGTTAATTGCTTATGTGATTAACTGCCTGAATGCCTGTGGGTGAAGGTTGGATTACTTGAATTAGAACAATTTATTGAAACCCGCATTTTAGCCTACTTACGAGTAGCAAACTTCAAACCATTTTCCAAACAAATGGATATGCGAGGCTTCATTCCAAATTAGGCGATCTAGTCTATACTTGCTTGCTGTGCGCGTATCACATAGTAAGACTAGCTAATTAATCGGAATAAGAACATATGTGTTTTCAAAAACAAGATATCATGCTTAGTACAGGCCGATCTTTAATCGAGCGAGCGGGGGTGCTCATTAAATGACCTTCCCCAATGGTACCCAAGTTCCTGAGCCAAGCCAACTTTGGTGATGACGGACACGTGGCCTTAGGCAAGAGTCAGGGTTTCCTAAATTCTCCCAAAATAAAATATTTAGATGGCGACTCTATATCTGGCAAAGCAGTTCATGTTTGGCACTTCTTTATTAAAAATTAGTTTTCCAAAACGATTTGTCGGATTTGGACTATTTGGTAAGTAATCGATCTTACATCGCACATTGTGAGATTAGATTCAGAACCGTGACATTTGATTCCGAACTGTGGTAAGCCCAAATGAATGAAACGGGATTCTCCCGGGGCGTTCGGGGCGCATCCATAAGCCCACAATAGTTAAACAACACCGTTCAATCTGATAACGAATTGCAGAGGAGCCAGCTCTTTTTAGTTATACATGATTTTTAGGTGCACATTATAATTTTAAAATTCATAACTTTCATCACAAAAATTGTAACTTTCATTTCACAAAATGTATAATTCTCTCAAAAAAAGTATTAATCCTATGATTTGGTTTTAATGATATCTAAAATATTATGAGATAAATTGTGAGTTTTTAATATATATATTTTGTTGTGAAGTAATCTTGCTTCACAATAATAATAAAATAAAACAATTTCCACTGGCCTAAGAATAGAGGCTACAATCAAGTTTGTCAAAAGTGGTTGCAACCGTTTGAAATTCATAGCCTCAACCGTATTTGCATTTAATATTTTTTACGTTGTTAGTTTTATATATATATATATAGCTATTGTATTTTGAGAATTCAGAGTGTGGGAGAAAGAAGAGAGTTAGAGAGTAAAAGTGTGTGCTTTTTTCTCCTCAGTGTATTCTACATGTTTGAGTGAAGTAAACATGTTTTTCAGATTATCAATCCTCTCTTGTATTTGTTTTTGTGAACCACCATAAGTGGTTTGCACCCCACTCTCACCAACAGTTGTATCAGAGCCGAAGGTAACTTGAATTTGCAGACCTTCTGCAACAATTCTCAAGAACAGAGCATCGTTTCAAAACTTGCCCAGAAATTAAAGTTGTTGAAATTCACTTTTGATCACACCAGTGTGTTAGTCTCATCAAGACGATCACACTGTAAAAACCCGCGTCGAAAACTGAGTCTGGAGGAGGTAGCACACTCTACACGCGTCATTTGATGCCGTTCTCACGCGCCGAAACGGTCACTACGCGCTGCACGTGCGAACCAGAGGAAGAAGACGACGGAGACAGAGTGAAAAAGGATCAAGTTAAATAATATAACTTGAGACTTAAGACCAAACCATGTTGTTTGGCAAAGTGGTTATGTCTCGCTTCTAAACATACGGGTGAATGTTCGAAACTCGGCAACAGCAACTCAAAATAATTTCTTTTTGACAAACAATTAGAGCCAAGCTGAGCCGAGCCACAACACGAGCCATGCCGCTAACATCATCTGATCCGAAAAATTATCCGGTGCTTCTCAGAAGTCTCAGATTCTGCCGATCTGAGCCGTTCAATTATTTTTGCTAGATCTAAGCTGTTTGAAGTCCGTTTTTGGTGATCCAATAGTGCTTTCCAACTATTTGGAGTATTCTGGACACATATGTACAGTCAAAATTTACAAATTACACCCTGAAAATTTATAGATTTTTAAAGTCAACCAATGGCCAACACAAACAACTTCTTTCAGCCCCAGTTTCCAAAACTCAACAAGGAGAACTATAAAAATTGGAGTATTCATATGCAAGTCCTACTAGCCTCACAAGATTTGTGGAAGTTAATGGATCGAGGATATGACGAGCCAGCTACTCTCAAAGATGAAGGAAATTTAAATAAAGCTCAGAAGATGGCGTTAAAAGATTCAAGGAAGAAAGATAAAAAGGCCTTGTATCTACTTTATCAAGGCATTGATGAGTCAAGCTTTGAGAAGATTTCAGCAGCAGCAACCTCTAAAGAGGCATGGAGTATTCTTCGCAATTCACACCGTGGAATTGTGAAGACAATCAGAGTTCGACTCCAGGTGTTATGTGGCAAATTCGAGATGCTGCACATGAATGAGAATAAGTCAATTTCTGAGTACTTTAACAGAACATTGACCATTGTTAATCAGATGAGAAGATATGAAGAGAAGATAGAATCTCTTCAAGTGATAGTGAAGATTCTTTGATCACTCAGTCCCAAGTTCAAGCACGTGGTTGTAGCAATAGAAGAGTCCAAGGATCTCAGTGCGATGACCACCGATGAGCTGATGGGCACACTTGAGATTCATGAACGAAGGATCAACAAGAAGACTCCCTTAAGTTCTCTAGAGCAAGCTTTTCAATCAAAGCTATCTTTTAGAGATGACAGAAACAAGCGAGGGGGGACATCACAAAGAAGTCGAGAAAGAGGTCGTGGTTACAATACTGAAGTTCTGGTTTTCGAAGAAGAGACGGAAGAGGTCCAGCCAAGGAAGAAGAAGTCAACCACACTTTACTCCGAGAGGAAGAGCAAGAGGAAGAGGAGGTGGTTACAACAACCGACCAGGATTGAACAAAAGCAATGTTTAGTGCTACCAGTGTCACAAGTTTGGGCATTACAGCAATGAATGCCAGAGTAGAGCAACAATAGAAGCCAGAGAGCAAGTAATTTTTGCCGAGCAGGAAACAAACAAAGTCGAACCTACAGTCCTGTTTGTCCACCATGGAGATACTGAAAACCAAAACAATGTTTGGTATCTAGATTCGGGAGCTAGTAATCACATGTGTGGTAAAAGAGAGTTGTTCATTGAGCTTGATGAGACTGTACAAGCACAAGTCTCATTTGATGATTCTTCAAAGATTCCAGTGAAAGAAAGAGGCAATATTCTGATCAAGCTCAAGAATGGAGATCATGATTACATCTTTAATGTTTATTATGTTCTTTCCATGAAGAACAACATTTTGGGTATGGAACAACTCCTAGAGAAAGGATATGACATCAACATGAAAGATTGTCATCTTACTATCAAAGGCAGTCATGGTAATTTGATCGCTCGGATGAGAATGTCCAAGAATAGGATGTTTGCACTGAACATTCAACATGATGTTGCGAAGTGTTTAAGTGCCATCATCAAAGACGAAGACAAAGACTGGATATAGCATTTGAGGTTTGGACATCTTAACTTTGGAAGCTTGAAGCTGTTATCAAGCAAGAATAAGGTGAAAGGGCTCCCTCATATTACTCATAGTAATGAAGTCTGTGAAAGCATCACAGAACTAGCTTTGCCAAAGAAGTGAAGTGGAGAGCAACAAAGGCACTGGAGCTAGTGCACACTGATGTGTGTGGTCCATTGAAGCCAATGTCAAATGAACAGAATAGATATTTTCTCACCTTCATTGATGATTATAGCTGGAAGACATGGGTGTCTTTTTTTAAAAGAAAGTTGGAGGTGTTCAATATCTTCAAAGAAGTCAAAACTTTTGTAGAAAACCAAAGCGGCTACTACATCAAGACATTGTGGTCAGATCAAGGTGGAGAATATATATCAAATGCTTTCGAGAATTATTACAAAGAGCATGGAATCAAACATCAAACAACACCATCCTATACGCCACAACTGAATGGTGTTGCTGAAAGGAAGAATCGCACAATCTTAGATATGGCAAGGAGCATGTTGAAAGGAAAGGGATTGCCCAAGAAATTTTGGGCTAAAGCTGTGTCACGTGTTGTGTATCTACTAAATAGATGTCAAACCAGGAGCCTTCACTCTATGACTCCAGAAGAAGCTTGGAGTTCACATAAGCCAAGTGTCAACCATCTCAGAATATTTGGGTGTGTTGCATACACCAAGATTCCAGAAGCAAGAAGAACCAAGCTCGATGATAAGGGAGAAAAATGTATCCTTGTCGGATATGGAGACAGAACAATGGGATACAAGTTGTATAATCCCATTACCAGAAAGGTGATCATGAGTAGAGATGTGATATTTGAAGAAGAAGAAGCTTGGAACTGGAATCAAGATGAAGTTATTAAAGATGCAGAATTCATTCTTGAAGATGAAACATCAAAAGCACCGGTTGAAACCATAAGAGAAGTTCAAGATGAGCCACAAACTCCTTCACATAGAATACCTGCACCTAGATCACTAGTTTCTCGTAGAAGTGCTGTATCATCGTCATCATTAGCATCATCAGATGACAGTTTTTTCAAGCAACCAAGACTAATGAGAAATTTATAGGAGATATATGAAGCTACAGAAAAAGTAGATCTGAATTTGTTCTGTCTACTCGCAGATAGTAATCCACTTACTTTCTTAAAAGCCATCCAAGAAGATAAATGGAAGAAAGCAATGGATGAAGGAATTCATGCCATTGAGAAAAATGACACATGGAAGCTTACCAGTCTACCAGAGGGGTACAAACCAATTAAAGTGAAATAGGTATACAAGACAAAGAGGAATACACAAGGCGAAGTGCAACGCTACAAAGCAATTAGTAGCAAATGGTTACAAGCAGAGAGCTGGAATTGACTATGGAGAGGTGTTTGCTCCAGTTGCCCGATTGGAGACTATCAGGCTAATGATTTCTTTGGCTGCCCAGCACAAGTGGCAGATCTATCAACTTGATGTGAAATCTGCATTTCTTAATGGTTTCCTTAAAGAAGAAATCTATATTGAACAACCTTCGGGGTATGTTCAGAATGGGCATGACGACAAAGTATACAAATTGAAGAAAGCACTTTATGGATTGAAGCAAGCACCGCGTTGTAGACGTCCCCGAACGTCCCGGGAGGGAAATCCCGTTTTGTTCGTTTTGGTCTCACTATAGTCCGGACTCAAAAGTCACAGTCCTGTATCTAATTTCGCAGAGTGCAATGCAAGATCGATGAATCATCAAAGAGTCCAAATCCGGCAAATCGTTTTTGAAAACAGATTTTTTTGAAAGAAGTGCCAAACTGGACTGCTTTGCTAAATACAGAGTCACTACCTAAATATTTTATTTTGGGAAATTTAGGAAACCCTGACTTGTTTTCCTAAGGCCACGTGTTCGTCATCACCAAAGTTGCCTCGGCTCGAGAACTTGGGTACGATTGGGGAAGGTCACTTCGTGAGCACCCCCGCTCGCCCGATCAAAGATTGGCCTCTACTAATCATGATATTGAGTTTTGAAAACATTATATGCTCTTATTTCAGTTATTAGCCTAGATTTACTATGTGATGCGCACAGCATTGGATTGCCCAAGTTGGAACAAAGCATCGCACATCCGTTTATTTTGAAAATGGATTGAAGTTTGCTACTCGCAAGTAGGCTAAAACACGGGTTTCGATGAATTATCCAAACTTAAGCAACCCAACCTTCACCCACAGGCATTTAGGCAGGTATATCACATAAGCACATAGCCTCATGGCAAGCATACTATCATGGCAGTCACTCACACACATGCAAGGATGCTAAAGCATAAATACTTACCGAGTACTCCAAGCTAAAACAGAAACTAGTTAGTAATCAATGCATGATCCTAGTTCATGTTAAGATGGCTAATACAACACATGCAAAAATGCAACTAAGATAGGCTCGGCTATTCCAAAATGGCATATGAAATGCAACAACTGATACACGTATTCAACTTGAAATTGAAATATAATGCAGTTAGTATGATGCGCGGAGCCCGGTGCATGCAATACAGATGAATGATGCAAACATGCAAGCATAAGTATGCTAATTGAAACATGCCCTAATCTAACCATCATAAGCTGGTAAATAAAAGGGAGAAATACGTAGGGTTGGAAGACATACATCACACTCACGCACACTTATTACAATTGTGCCCTCGCTCGGAGGGTCCGAATAAAAAATACAGTCTGAATAAATAATTAATTACTCTAGCTACTTAAATATTACAAAACCCTAATTAATCAACAAATTAACTAGAAAAGAAAATAAATTAGCATGCAAGCTAAATGGACCGCCTCAGCTCTGTTCCGAATGATGAAAGGTGCATGCATGCTCGCGTCGCCTTGTCGATAAATTCCATCGCGATGCCTCGCCTATTGATCTCAGAAACTTGCACAAAGCTCCAGAAGGCTGAAACTCCACCTTGGGAAGGCCACCGACCAGTTATTAGCATGGGAGACCACCTGCCGACCACCCTTTGTGGTGGAGACCAAAGAGGGGGTCCGCCTGCCAGAAAATCTGGTCGGCCGACCAGTTTCCACCTCTGGTTTCTGGTTTTTCTGCAACAGGCAAGAGAGAGAAAAAGTAATGTATTTTCAACAAATGTGTGCATGACCACTCTCCCCATCCTTGCACAAGCTCAATGGAGTATAGTCCTCGATCCTCGTGCTACCAATCACGCATCTCGATGTATAATGGCCGAGAAGTCGAATTGCACGACTCGATGTGAAATAAATACACATATAAGCAAGTAAAGCCAACGACTCTGTCATGGATAGTCAAGAGTGTCAGCAACCAAGAATCGAGGCACGATTCGTCACTTGGAGTACGAAACGTCCCTCGTTTCTTGTGTTTGGACTAAACCCTACTCCAAACACAATGCAATATACATGACATGCATGAATGCAACTCTAACATGCAACCTGGATGCAAATGCCACTGAATGACGCAAGCATGCAAGGGATGACATGAAAACATGGTACTAGCATACACAATGCTATGAAATAATCAATGGCATACTCAATGCAAGGTGATTCTATATGGCATACGCAATGCATATGAAGACTAACAAACACAATGAAACGAACAAGGCATACACAATGCAATGATCAAATCATGCAACAACGTGAACTAAATGGCATACACAATGCAAGATGGACTTAAACCAACATGAGTGGACCTCAGCCACACTCACATCAGTGGCCATATGATGGAAATGAGACAATCGAAATACATGCAAACATGCACGGATGCAAAGGACCGATCCTAAGGCACAACATGCAACTCTAACAAAGCATGGCAAATGATGAAATATGGCATAGAATGGCAC